TTCTACTCTTGCTGGGCTCTCCAAGGCTCTCGATATGTAAACCCTAAACCCTAAACCCTAAACCCTAATTTTTATTATAAACCCTAAACCCTAGTTTTAATTATAAACCCTAAACCCTAATCACAAGCATAAACCCTAATCATAGAGGCAGATGTATACCCTGAGTCTGGCGCTTGATATGTAAACCCTAAACCCTAAACCCTAATTTTAGTAATAAACCCTAATTATAATCATAAACCCTAATCATGCATGCTAAACCCTACCCTGATTATTCTCTTAGAGTGTTTAAGGCGATGTTATGTAAACCCTAAACCCTAATTATAAACCCTAGACACAAACCCTAAACCCTAAAACCCTAAACCCTCTTGTTGTATTCCTTTTCACGCATCCCCCCCTCCATCCCCTTCAGGGTCTAGGGTTTAGGGTTTAGGGTTTAGGGTTTAGGGTTTAGGGTTTTGTTGCAGAGCGGTGGAGAGGTTGCAGCCTGAGGAAACCCTCGAGCAGCAGCAGGAGCGGCTGGCGTATCAGCAGGCCATAGGCAAACGCCTAGAAGTAGAAGCAGCAAAGATGAGTAAGCAGCAGCAGCAGCAGCAGCAGCAGCAACAGCAACAGCAACAGCAGCAGCAGCAGCAGCAGCAGCAGTANAGCAGCAGCAGCAGCAGCAGCAGCAGCAACAGCAACAGCAACAGCAGCAGCAGCAGCAGCAGCAGCAGTAGTAGTAGTAGCAGCAGGAGGAGGGAGAGCAGCGAGAAATGGAGAGAATTGGGGGTTGAGGAATACGGTGGTTTAGGGTTTTGTAGGGTTTTCTAGGGTTTAGGGTTTTCTAGGGTTTAGGGTTTAGGGTTTAGGGTTTAGGGTTTTGTGTGTAGACGAGCGGTTGCGGCGCACGAATTTAAGGCGTTTAGAGAAACAAGAAGAACAGCAAAAGCTCGAGGAGGAAAGGAGACTGAGAGAAGCAGAACAAAGAAGAGTAGAGGAGAAACAAGGTATATTCCGAGGGTTTAGGGTTTAGGGTTTAGGGTTTAGGGTTTGGGGGGGATGCACTGCATGCATGCATGCGTTTTGGCTTTTTCGGGAGGGGTTTAGGGTTTGTTAGGGTTTAGATATATGTGCTTTTGATGGGTTTAAGGGTTTAGGGTTTAGGGTTTAGGGTTTAGGGTTTATGGATGCATGTTTAGGGTTTAGGGTTTAGGGTTTAGGGTTGTGTGCATGCATGCGCATGCATTTTGTTTTTTTGTATTTGTCTGCATGCATACACTTTTTTATTTATTTTTTTTTATTTTTTTAATTTATTTTATATTTATTTATATACGTAACAACTAACTAGATAAAAAAAACAAACAAATAAAATAAATAAAATAAATAAAATAAATAAAATAAATAAAATAAATAAAATAAATAAAATAAATAAATAAAATAAATAAATAAACAAATAAATAAGCAAAGCAAGCCTGAACAGAGCAAAATATT